AATTAGCAAATAAATTACTGCAGACCACTAATAACTATATTTATTAACACGCAAGTACAAGTTAGACAAGAGTACGAAATAATATCTGATTGCATTGGAAACATTGCTTATATAGGTGAAAATAATTAACAATAATTAAAATCGCGATATGTTGTTTATCTTAACCTACACACTGATTGGTCGTATTCACAGCGAACACAATACATGCGCAAGCGGCCGTTGAACTCCGCCCATGACGCCGTCGATGAGAACAATAGGTACACAGGCGGCCATCGAACTCTGCTGGCGCTACGACCAATGGGAACGCATGCGCCCTAATGAGCGGGCGGTGCTTAGCAATGACGTAGAATATCGTCCGATGTATGACGTAGGAGTGGCGTGATGTTTAGGTCTGTTCTAGCTACTAATTTACTCGCCACAATATCATCTCCAGGGTATCGTAAGAGTGAATGAAACGGGAGATAGACCACAGTGTCTGCATGATACCGATTCAAAATATTTAAAAACAGCGGCCGGCAATCGCCCCCCAGACGTTGCAACTATGAGAAATGTCCCCGCTATTAGATAATCTATGTAGCTTAAGGTCGACGTTGAACTTTGGATAGGCTGCTGTAACAAATGAGTAATGAATTAAATAAACCCAACAATCGAAATATACAGATAATATTTTAATTTTGTCTCTTTTTTAAATCGTGGTTCATTCATGAAATCATGACATTTAAAAATATGCTTTAAAGTATTAAAAATATTTTTTGAATAAGGGTGACAAACGAGCACACAGTCCACCTGATAATGAGCGGATGCTGTGGTCCATAGACATCTACATGCTATGCCATCTACATCATATCCACGATTAAGAATCAAAATGCAGATGCGTTGTCAGCCCTGAGGACCTCTTGGAACCGGGCGGCAGGAAACAAGCTTCAGGACGCCGATAGTTTAGGTAAGTTCATAAAAATATAAATTACTTCGCAACCTTCCGCTAGCTAAATACAGTGATGTGTCTTACCTGGATTGAAGAGCACCTCCCGCCCTCCTTCAATCCAGGTAAGACACATCATTGTATTTAGCTAGCGGAAGGTTGCGAAGTAATTTATATTTTTATTATAATGGATTTCCGCAAAGTAACGCCTGATTCTATCAATTAAGTAATTTATTTTTACAGTGAAAATAATGGTAATTTAAAAAAAAAATAAAACACGTAAGCCCTGCTTTATAGTTAGTTCAGTTAGTATGCAAAGTTTCGTGATCTTATTTAAAGTATTTTATGAATAACAGCGATTTATTGTTCAGTTTGGAGGTAACTTTGGATTTTTTTCTAGCGAAAAAATTTTACAGAATCATGTTTTCGTCTAACATAGTACTTAACTTTAATCTTCAACTTTACCGTATATTTATTTCAAAATTAATGCTGCAATATTTTCGGTATAACGGAGGAATACAAATATTATATTATGCGAAACTGGTAATAAGCGACATAATACTGAAGTTATAAATAGAATATTTAAGTCATACAGCGCGAAGTTACCCTATGTTAACTACATAGATTTACACTATACATATTTAGGCCAACCACGTAATAACTTAAGACATCTGTGCCAGAATATACTCCAAGATATATTACGACTCGACTATAAACAAAAAATCAAAAATTATCAAAGTAAAGAAATACAGAAAATGTTAAAAGGCATTAGGCTACCTAAACAGGATATACACTGTGTTCCGACAGATGTGATTACTAATAACGATCAATTTTTTCGTTAGTACTGCCATAAATCATAATATACAAAATTCGAACATTAAGGATAATTCTGTAACGAAACCTATATGCAAATCACGATCTGATGTAAAATATAACAAACCAGGAAAAAAAATACTGCTCACAATATTATTTCGAAACATACAGAGTATCTTCAATAAACAAAACATACTTGAAGCATTTTTGATAGAGTTCCCACAGTTTCAAGTAATATGTATCACAGAATCTTGGCTAACGCTTGAAAAACTACAGATAATACAATTTTCAAATTATACGATAGCTGCTTCATTCTGTAGAAAATCCCGCGTTGGCGGCGGAGTTTGTATCTTGTTGAGAGATGTTCTAAAATATGTAGAAAGAGAAGAAATGGCCAAAATGTCAATAGAATATATAATAGAAGTGTGTGCAGTGGAGCTACCAGAAGAAAATAATTTAATTATAACTGTGTATTGGAATGGAAGAGAGGAAGACGCATTCTATAATCGATTACAATACATCTAAAATTATATAAATATTTTTTTTCTAAATACAGTATAATTATAGGAGGTGACTTCAATATTGACATATTGAAAGACAATACAAAGACTAAACAATTTTTAAATCTAATGCTAGAATTTCAATTTAATCAACATATAACAAAGCCTACTCGTATAACTAAAAACACATCAACGTGCTTAGACTTAATATTTACAAATTTCTGCAACCTAAAACTAAAAACTAGTGTGGAAATATTTGGACTTTCCGACCACATGAGCACAATTATAGATATAGAAATAAATAAGCAAAACGAACAAAATATATGGTATACAGAAAAAAGAAAATTTAATTTCAATAATATGCAAAACTTTAAATCCAAATTAGAGTCGGAAATTTTGGAACCTAATAAAAATATTAACTATAACTACAAAAAGTTTAACGATAAACTAATATATATACTGAATAAATGTATACCCAAAGAGAAAATTATAATTAAACCAAGATATAAAAAACGTTGGTTAACCGTAGGGTTGAAAAAATCGTGTAAACACAAAAGAATGCTAAAGGTATTGGCATTAAAATCGAATAATGAAATACTTATCCAACATTATAAAAAATATGGAAAATTACTTTAAAAACCTGTCATTACATCAAAGAAAATAGAATACAGTAATAAAATTATAAGATCAAATAATAAAATCAAAACAATGTGGCATATAATAAAGGAAAGAACAAATAAAAATATTATAAAAGAAAAAGATAACCTTAAACTAAAAATAAACAGTACTTTAACTTCAGACCCGATTTTAATAGCAAATTCTTTTATTAGGTTCTATGCTTCGTTAGGCAAAAATTGTAACCCGCAAGCACGTGGTCGAACTGCCCAAAAAGCGTCAAATAACTCTATGTATCTCAGCCCAGTAACACCAAGGGAAGTATATAAAATAATACAAAATTTAAAAAATAAAATGAGCTTCGGGATAGACGAATTACCACCAACCTTAATAAAACATTGCGCAGATGCGTTAGCTCTACCACTTTGCGAACTAATCAACCAATCTCTGACAGAAGGCATTTTCCCCAAACATGTTAAAAAAGGCATTAATAATACCCATCCATAAGAAAAATTCAAAAACCGATATCGATAATTATCGCCCCATAGCTTTACTCCCTACAATCTCAAAAGTTTTTGAAAAAGCAATGTTCGAACGTGTGTATAATTTCTGCGAAAAATATAAAATCTTTAGTGAATTTCAGAACGGTTTCCGTAAAAATCGATCTACCATACTAGCAGTATATAAATATATTCAAGATATTCTAAAGATATTAAACAATAAAGAATATGCAATAGGAATACTCTTAGATATGACCAAAGCATACGATAAGGTACAATATAATATATTACTTAATAAATTAAATAGTATAGGTGTTCGTGGGATTAGTTTAGAATGGTTCAAATCATACTTACAAGATAGAGAACAATATGTAGAAATAGAATACTTTGATAATAATAAAATAGTAAAAGCGAGATCAAATAAAATAATTGTAAATGCTTCAATACCCCAAGGTAGTGTATTGGGATGTTTATTATTTTTAATATATATTAACAATCTCAGTGAAACTATCGTTAACCCATGTGTTATGTTTGCGGACGATATCTCTATCTTAGCACCTTGTCGTGACGTAAATAACGTAAATGATATATTATATAAAATATTTGAAAATACCGACCAATGGATGAAAGAGCATAACCTGGAAATAAACTACAAAAAAACAAAAATTTTGCCTTTTTACCCCTATCAAAAAACGCCGATAAAAATTAATTTTTCTTACAAAAAATACAAAAATCAAGACAGTAAATGAGCACACTCTACTCGGCATAGTTTTGGATAGTCACATCAACTGGAAATCTCACGTTCAGAAAATTCGTAACAAATTGTCCAGTTTTGTATATGCCCAAGTGAAATAAAAAAGACAACTGACCTCCAGGCCGCGTTAATTACTTACAATGCCTATGCACAGGCGTGGCTAAGGTACGGTATTATCCTGTGGGGTAACAGTACGGATGCAACCACCATCTTCATTTTACAGAAAAAACTAATTCGCATTATGTGTAACATAGAAAGAACTGAAAGTTGTCGTCCTCATTTTAAAAAACTTAAACTTCTTACCTTAATTTGTATTTATATATTGGAATTATGCAAATTTGTGCGCAAATACCCTAATTTCTACGTAAAAAAGAGAAACTAAAATTACGGCTTATAGTTTAAGACACGGAAATAGATTATTGCTACCAACTTCTAAAATGAAGCTCTTTTCCTCAGGCCCTTACGTAATGTCAATAACTGTCTATAATAAACTACCAAACTCATTAAAAAACGAAACAAATGATCATATTTTTATAAGACAATTAAAAGTGTTTCTAATCAATAAATGTTATTATACTTTATATGAATACCTGAATGACAAATGTAATAATGATAATGAAAACTATAAATAAATGAATGAATAACACGAATAATGATAGTATAATAATAAGGAATAATATTAAGGCGTAGGGAAGTGACGACCCCATCGCCCGCTGACGTAACGGTTATGTGACAAAACCGGTACGTCAGCGCAGTCAGTCAGCACCTTGCCGAGAGGTGTTAGTGCCGTGCCTCGGCAAAAATTGAAGGTGCAAAGGCCCGCTTGTGCACATGGCCTCACCATGAAACGGCGCCGGGTCTGGGCGTCTCCCGCTAAATGACGCCCACCACTATGGATGATGGAATACGGAAGAACGCGCAAAGGGCCGCTGCCTGGAGGTCGCCAGGGCGCGTCTGGAGCTGGCGCTGGACGCGACAGCATACGAACCGCCAGCCGAGCGCGAGGTGCTGCACGACCACCCAGCAGCCCCTCGCATCCATCATCCTCACCAGCTGGTTTGGTATCGGCAGGGTCTTCGCGGGCCCAGCAATCGGCACCCGCCACTGGTGGAGTACGCCGCATGCGTTGGACAACCCAGATGAACAGCAACGCATTGCGGGCGTATTTTAGGGCGAAAGGGGGAGAAACTGGAGGTTTTGCGTATCGGGCAAGGATGCATCGACTTTTTGCTGAGCTGGAGCCATCTGTAACCGTCACCGAGCAAAACCTGGCAGACCGAGTTCGGTATATCTTGCGCTCAAATACATTTGATGTCACCGAACTCGAACGGCTACGACGTGAGGCTGTTCCTTCATCGGGTGAAAATGCTGCGGCTGAGGATGCGGCGCCACAACTTGCTGAGCAAACGGCAAATGTGGATGCCGCCGTGAATACGCCAGATGTGGTTGATTCAAACGATGACGGAACAGTCGCCCAGGAACTGGAACTAGAGCAAATGAGGAGTACATTGGAGGAGGCGATTGTGGAAACGTGCAGTACGCCTCTCGAAAATCGACCGTGACTTCCCCGCTTAGCCCTAAGCAAGCGGAATCGGGCTGTCGTGAGGGCTCTGAACCCAATGCTGGTTACCTACTTGGAAGCCAGCCGGGACCTTTGCGAGACGGACTCAATTCTTTTTGGCGCCGCACTGGCAGTCGGCCGTATTATAGGCGCCAAACTTTCCACGGCTGGACGCGCTACTGGACAAAGTAGTGCTATCCCAGCCTGGAGAATAAGAATTGAAGAACGTATCGCAAGGGCTAGGGCCCTCATCGGCAGACTGATATGCTTCAGGTCAGGCAATACCAGGCCAAGGATTGTGCGCACCGTCAGGATGGCGTTTGCTGGGACAAATGTTAGTTTGTCCCAGCCGGATATAACGCAAAAACTGACGGAGCGCATAGACGACCTGAAGCAAAGAATCGCTGCTTGGGGAAAGCGGATTCGGCGATATACCGAGAGGTTGACGCGGTTCAACCAGAATCGTCTCTTCCAGAGTGATCAGAAGAGGCTCTACAAACCATTGGAGCGACCAATAGTAAGTGGAACGGGCCCAGCACCAAATCAGGCCGACACGGTCGCATTCTGGCGCAGCCTGTGGTCAGAGCCCGTAAACCACAACGAGGGCCCTTGGACGGAAGTTGTGGCGAGTCAGTGTGCGGGTATTACGCCCATGGACCCCGTCATCATAACGCCGGATGACGTAGCTGAGGCGGTCCGTAGGGCCCCGAACTGGAAAAGTCCGGGGCTTGACGGGCTGCATCACTACTGGCTGAAGGGGTTCATGGTGTGTCACGCTGTGCTCGCCCGACAGTTTCAATAGGCTCTCAACCAGAAGTCGCTCCCAAGCCTCTTCACTTCTGGGACAACTCATTTGGTTCCTAAAGATCAGGGTGCCACAGACCCGAGCAAATACCGCCCCATCACGTGTCTACCGGCTATATACAAGACACTAACATCCATTTTGAGCGCGAGAATCGCTCGTCACCTGGACTCAAATCAGGTGATGTCGCGCGCTCAAAATGGATGTCGGGGCGGCGGTCGTGGAACCAAGGAACCACTCCTCATTGACGCGGTCATTGGCAAAGTGGTGAAACGCAACCGTCGGAACTTCTCCGCCGCTTGGATAGATTACAGAAAGGCATTTGACTCGGTGCCCCATACATGGCTAAAGAGGGTCCTCGAGCTGTACAAGACAAGATTGACTGTACAGTTCGAGACTTCCTCGAGCAGTGTATGGGGCAGTGGAGTACGATCCTCTGTCATCTGGGCGAGCGGATGACGGCTGCGGAAAGCCACATAAGGATAAGAAGGGGTATATTCTAGGGCGACTGTCTGAGTCCATTCTGGTTCTGCCTCTCTTTGAACCCTCTCAGTACTTTACTGTAGGGCTCCGGGAGGGGATTTCAGCTTCGGAAGGGAGGTACAAAAGTGACCCACCTTTTCTATATGGATGACCTCAAGTCATTCGCCTCCAGTCGCTCCAATCTTATGGAATTGCTAAACATCACTTGTGAATTTAGCAATTCTATTGGAATGGAGCTGGGGACGGATAAGTGTGCGGTCCTCCATGTTGAAGGGGGAAGGGTTGCTAACTCTGAGGGCAAAGACTTATTTATGCCCTTCAACTTAAGGGCCCTTTCCGAGGCTGAAACATACCGATACCTGGGTATGTCACAGAACATCGGTATCGATGAGGCTGGTATGAAACAGTCAGTTTGCGACCTGTTTTATGCACGCTTGACCAAAGTGCTTAACAGCCTTTTGTCCGGTGTGAATAAGACACATGCGTATAACGATTGGGTTATGCCTGTCCTCATGTATTCCTTTGGCATACTCAGGTGGAGTCAGACTGAACTTAACGTCCTGGATAGAAAAGTCCGCACTACAATGACGTCCCACAGGATGCATCATCCGAAATCGTTGGTAATGAGGCTGTACTTACCACGAAAGCATGGTGGGCGTGGCTTCCTGAGCGCGCTCACCATGCATAATCGCGAAATGTGCAGCCTCCGTCATTACTTCCTGGCGAGATCGGATGATCCATTCTATAATGACGTCATTTCTAGTGATAAAGGGCTTACCCCTCTATCCTTAGCCAACGAGCAATGGCAAGATCCGGCAGTACAGAGCATTTCCGACCGGGAGACCGTATGGAAGGAGAAGGAGCTCCACGGGAGGTTCTACAAGGCTCTACATGAGCCTTTCGTAGACACAGTAGCCTCCCTCCACTGGCTACGCTTTGGTGATCTCTTCGGGGGAAACCGAGGGTTTTGTCTGTGCAATACAGGATCAGGTTATTAAAACCAACAACAATCGGAGATACATCCTAAAGGATGGCACCGTCGACATCTGTCGAGCTTGTCGCCATCCCGGTGAGTCACTTAGGCATGTTATCTCCGGTTGTTCGGCGCTTTCTAACTCTGAGTACTTGCACAGGCACAACCTAGTAGCCAGAATTCTACACCAGGAGCTCGCTCTGAAATACGGTCTCGTGGATCGAAAATTGCCGTATTACAAGTACTTGCCGGAAGCCGTGCTCGAAAATGACCGCGCCAGGCTCTACTGGGACCGGGCCATCATCACAGACAGGACTATTCTTGCAAATAAGCCTGATATTGTGCTGATGGACCGGGCACAGTCAAGGATATTTTTGATCGACATTACCATTCCGTATGACGAGAACCTCGTGAAAGCCGAAACAGATAAACAAACAAAACAAAAAAAGTGACCGACATGTGGGGTGGTGTGTCGACCGAAATTATTCCCGTAGTCATCTCTGCGAATGGGCTAATCCCAGTCAGCCTCTCTCGGCTCATCTGAGGCGACTGGGACTCCGTGACGGACCGCTCCTGGCTCAAATGCAGAAGGCGGTGCTCCTCGATACCGCCCGCATCGTCCGCCGGTTTCTTTCCCTTTCCCCCTAACCCTCGGCCGTCTGGTCTCCCCTGCCGAGGGCTCCCATCTGGTTGGATCTTATTTATTTATGCAGTTTTTGTATTTATTTTATTTTATTGATATTTATGTACATTTATCTTTTCATTTTAATTTATAATTATATATTTATAGAACCCAACCAGGTGAGAAAATTATATAGATACCCCAATAGGAATAATATAAATATAATGAATAATATAATAATTATAATGAATAATAAATAAAACATTTTGCGTCCTCCTCTGTTCTAATTTGCTATACCCGACAGAGTCCATTATGTGAAAATTGAATATTATTAATTTCTACATTATGGAATGCAAATAAATATATTGTATTGTATTGTATTGGATCTTGCTAAGCCATTTCAGGTTATATTCCCCCTTAATTAAGTACGTCTTTTGGTTCTTTACTGTTATAAGGTTGAATAAAATTTAAATATATGTATTTGTAAGATTGAAATATTTTAAAAGGGATGGAGTTCATACGTCTTTTTCTGGAAATGCTGAGACTCGTTTGCGTCGCCTCGCCGTTCACTTACTTTAATCTGCTTGTCTCTACTGAATGAGCTACGACAAGGAAACGCTTAAGCTCTGCTTCGTGTACTTATAGCTCCTTGGGTAAGATAAGTAAATTAATTGTGGTTTAAAATCCGAGAAATTTGTTTGTAGTGTCGGACTTATGCTCTTAATGGGAAGTTTTTACTTGACATTATTATTAATTAGGTTAAGTGGTGAAATATATTTTTTTATAGGATAGGGTGACAAACGAGCACACAGTCCACCTGATCGTAAGTGGATACTGTGGCCCATAGACATCTACATCTATCCTCGATTACGAATCAAAATGCAGATGCGTTGTCACCTGTGAGGACTTTGGTGGAATGCCTCGTTTCCAGTAAAAAGGGTCTCCGGTTCTCTACACTCAGGATACGAAACACAGCACATTAAGCTACTATTTAACGCTGGTATTCTGTGAAAGCGTGGTCCTTCCCCGGTCGAGGCGACCCATTCTACTAATACTACTAATATTACTGCAGCATGGCTCTACCACGTAAAATAATAACAATAATAATAATAAACAAATAGTGAAATAATAATAATAACCAAAAAGCAGCGTTTCTTTTCAAAATTTAAAATTTTTACGTATTTTACGTTAGTAATAATAGTAATAATAACATTTATTTTTTCACCACAAACAAAGTTGCATTTAGAGTTATGAATAACAGCTAATTACCATTAAAGGTGAGAGACATAAACTGAAACATCATATGAATAACGTGTTTTTTCTATCGAGCCGTATTAAACATCAATTTTTCACGATCAAATCCAAAAATTATACACCCGTTAGCATTTTCCGTTTTACTTATTTTTAGCTTAGTCACGGATCGGGCATATTAATCTTACTTTCGCGTGATAAGGTGCTTAGCGTTGTTAATAAATTTGCTAAAGTAAAGAGATGAACATAGTTCCATATAAGCTTGGACTCGACGTGAACAAAGTTTAAGTAAGTCTTATTTTGAAGATTTAAACATTTGCTACTTATATCAAAAAATCAAATTTTGCAGGACCTGGGGTTTGTTTTTATTTTATGCTTTCTGAATTGTAGGGTATGTATTAAAAATCACTCGTTTTTGTGATACGTAGCGTGAATAAACTGAAAACGACACAAAACATTAAATTTTGTAGTTATTTTTAAATGAAGTATTCTCTGCAATTATCAATAACATGTTCTGTGTGGGCTCCACAACCTACTGTCATGTAATCCGAGAGAAAAACCAGGGGTTAAGTTAAATAAATCCACAAAAGTAAAAACACGAAATCTATCAGGTGAGTGCATGCTCGTTTATCCCTTCTTCTATTAAAAAAAAACAAAACAAAAATCTATTCACAATGCAAAACACTTGAAGTTACAGAGTTAAGTCTCCTTCGGAACAGGCAATGATCAAAGACTATACAGCCTTTTCAATTGTGTTAGATAATATTCAAATGTTTTTTTTTAGTTTTTTTATGATGCCTATTAACTCGTTTTTCTGAATATTTGGAAAATCTAAAAGTGCATGCCTCACACGATTATTATGTTAAAAATCAAAATTAAAAGAGATGAAAATAGTGACGATAATTGTTACAAGAAAAAATAACAGACAATCTGATTGACTTTCAATAATAATTTTTAAACGGTGTTGAGTTCAATAACAAAAATTAATACTACCTATTTAACCTACCTTACCTATTTAATACTAAGTACATTATATCTCAATCTATTGTTTACATTTCTATTAAGGCCGAATACGACGCGAATGACCTTGCTCGTTTCGCAGCAAACCACGCGACGCCCGTACGCTTTGTTTATATAGACATGTATAATAAAATCAAAGGGCTTTGATTATATTATATTTGACTGAGCTAGCTCAGTATGCAGAGTAATGAACAACACAGAGAACATTGCTTACTTCTTAAATAAATCTTTCTTATTTATAATATTAGTTCCTATTGATTATAAATTCTGTACTTTATTCGTTATAAAATATTGTTGGAAAAGTTATTGAATTGATAACGTTTTTTTTCATAATTGGTTCAACGTACGTAAAGAACCTCATATAACTGAAAATGTTTGTTCTTGTGAGTCTTACAAGATGCCGTAATGCAAATTGCGTAAATAATAAAGAAAAAAAACTAAAAAGTCGGTGATTACCCCATAGTGGGGATAGGTACTGTGTATGTAAATTCTCACAAGACACTTCACATCCGAAGTATTTCGGTTTTTCTTAATTATGTATTTACCCCATGCTTTCGGATAATACATTGACTATGACATTATTTGCGGTCTCTGTGCTTGAACTACTCTGTACATTCTTTTCCGACTGGGTCTTGATATTTACATTTTTAG